AAACTATTTTACTAGTTTTAAGAATTTCTGGAAAAGCAAATGTTAAAATATGAATCTAACTGTATATTTCCGAAGATTACAATAAATGTTTAACGAAACCGGAATATTATTCATGGACACTGCCAAGAATACACTGAAATACTGCAGATAATCCAATCTTTTGCTTTGCCGTCACCTATTAAACATCATAGTTAGAAACCGTATAAAGTATACATATGTAGCGCTCAGAAATTCGATATCTACACAGTTTAGTTTAATTTCATGTAATAGTTTTAAATGTACCTATAAATACACATGAAAACTGCAAAACGGTGATAATTTATCCTCAATATAACAGCAGTCGAGCTTTATTTAATGGTATACGATCGATGTAAAAACGGAAAAATAGAGCCATGGAAAAGGTCAACTCCAACTGATGACGTCAACTACAGATTTTGGTTCAAGATTTAACGATATCATTTCTGTTGAAAAGTAATAATTTCATCTACGTCCTTATTATTATTAACAAAGATAACATATTTAATTTCCGGCAGTTAGGTAGCGTATTGATGAAAAGTTTGTGAACAGTGTTAAATTTTGTAATTTTTTTTTCTTTTGTGAGACTGTTATGCCATAAACACAAAATCTATTTCTTGATACAATCAAGATTGATCTGTATTTTGAAAGCAACGTTTCCAAATCCCAGTAACGAAAAATGAACCGTGAGAATGAAGACTGGTTTGTTTCTAATTAAGCATAAAGCTACACAATGGGCTATCTGTGCTCTGCCCACCACGGGTATCGAAACCCGGATTCTAGCGTTGTAAGTCCGCAGACATATCGCTGTGCTACTGGGGGGCAAATAATTAATACATACTGGTTTATTTGTACTGCTCGACTCACAATATGCGGGATGCGGATTTGAATCCCGTCACCGAACATGCTCGCCCTTTCAGCCGGCGACGGTCAATCCAACTGTTCGTTGGTAAAAGAGTAGCTCAAGAATTGGCGGTAGGTGGCGTTGACTAGCTATCTTTCCTCTAGTCTATCATTTTTAGATTAGGACCGGCTAACACAGGTAGCCCTTGAGTAACTTTACGTGAAATTCAACAAACAAACAAACAAAAGAAACGTTGTAAAATCCGTAATTTAGGGTACTTAAGGGACTTACAACGCTAGAAACCAGGTTTCGCTACCCGTGGTGGACAGAGCACAGATAGCCCAATGCATAGCTTTGTACGTAATTACAAACAAACAGACAAACTCATGCGGTAAACATAGGCAAAGTGTCATATGATGATACAGAAACAAACAGGTTTTGATAAAATCCGTAATTTAGGGTACTTAAGCTGTAAAATCTTTACATAAATCTTATTTTATTTTAATTAACTCGCAGCATTCTTTACGATCCCATTACGGTTTTATAAGAAGAAAAGTGTATAATAACATTTCAACTAATATATACTATGTTGTACATCGCTGTCGAAGAGTCCATCAAACCGGCTGGGTTAAAACATATAATGTTAATTGAAAGGATATTTATGTATGTCGCATAGAGGAAATAGGTTTTAGGTGTAGAGAACGTTTAAGACGTTCTGCACTCGAAGAACGTACTAGATGGATGAGCACGACATTGAACAGTAGCAGTGTGTTATGTTCAGCCAGTTAAGATGTTCTGTACTCGAAGAACGTACTAGATGGAGGAGCACGACATTGAACAGTAACACTGTGCTATGTTCATCCAATTAAGACGTTCTGCACTCGAAGAACGTACTAGATGGAGGAGCACGACATTGAACAGTAGCAGTGTGTTATGTTCAGCCAGTTAAGACGTTCTGCACTCGAAGAACATACTAGATGGAGGAGCACCACATTTAACAGTAGCAGTGTGTTATGTTCAGCCAGTTAAGACGTTCTGCACTTGAAATGAGGTTGCCTTCATATTTCAACGATGAAAAATGAGAAAAAAAATGGATTTGCGTGAGATTATTCACGAAAGAGGAAAAACGACAGGTAAAACTTGATCAAAACATCTCGAGAGAAACATTTGAAATCGGTCTGAAATCGGTAAGGCATTCAGCGCGTATGGGATCAGAGGGCGATCTGGAGGCAACGCCGGTGTAAAATGAATATTTTCTGTTACCACTGAAACATACTTGCAACTGATGGTTGATTAGCGTGATATTTCTTTGTAAATACTTATTTGGAAATGTAACACAACCTGAAGTTAGACTTTGTGTATTCGGCACTAGTATGTAACGTACTTGATTCATTATTTTATGTTACACATCTACGTTTGAACACAGAATAAAAATGCTTTCGAAATCAATCCTCTGCTAAACATAAGAGTATTTTGAAGTGTTCATGAATAGCGCGTGTTTACTGTCTCAATTCTCTTCCACTTTGTCGTTCCAAACGAGTTCACGAGATATCTGTTCGAGAGTTTAATTGTTTAACCGTCGCTGTCACGCATGAAAACGACAAGTATTCAAAGACTGAATCAGCCTTCTTCTAAGTGAAGTAGAGCCCTATGTTGTAATGAATCAGAAGTACAGTATTTGTTAAAAGAATATTTTATGCTTTGCTGTCAGTTCTGTAATATGTTTTTTTGTTTGTAATTTCTATTGTGTGAGCCAAAGAAACTAACTCGTAATGTCTACCTTTTCAGCGGAATAAAGTGTACTAATCAGTGCCGTGTATCTCGCCTTATTCCCCCCCCCCCCATCCTACCTCATCAAGCAGTTGCTGTTCGCAGAAGATTTAGCGCATGAGCAATTCACATTTATACCGGTTGCGTTACACTCAGTGCTCGTTGTTAGAAGCCTTTAGAATAGAAAGACAAACCAATTTAATGACAATATAGTTTTGGGGTTGGCCGCTCGAGTGTTATGTTTATTGTTTCTTTGTTTATTATGAATTTAGCGCCAAGCTACACGAGGGCTATCTTCGCTAGCAGTCCCTAATTTAGCAATGAAAGACTAGAGGGAAGGCAACTAGTTATCACCACCCATCGCCAACTCTTGGGCTACTCTTTTACCAACGAATAGTGGGAATGACCGTCACATTATAACGCCCCACCAGCATATTTGGTGTGACGTGGATTCGAACCCGAGATCCGCAGATTGCGAGTCGAGCGCCCTAACCACCTGGCAATGCTAGACCATAAAGATTCACTTGCCTTTGCCAATAAGAATTAAAACCTGCTCTGACAAGATAAAAAGTTGTCTTTCACTTTACATCCAAAGAAAATTAGTATGGATTAATCCACATTGTTTATAGATATGTTTGTTCTGGATGTGGACAGGATTATGTGGGATCAACCACGGGTCGTTTAGACTAGCTTATAAAAGAATATATGAAGCCTAATTCTTCAAACATCTATACCAAGAATGTGTAGTTCCAACAATGAGAAGGATGTAATAATCCACGTTACACGATCTTTTGATGTAGACACTACTTCATTAGTGGAAGGCCTGGCGATAGATGCCCTCTGCTGACGTTTTGAGTGTTTTCATCTGTAAATCAACGTTGAAAGGTTTGTCCTTATCATGCGATGTACACTACTTATGAAATCATCATTGTATTTCATGATTTTGGTTTGTTTTGTTTTGAATTTCGCGCAAAGCTACATGAGGGCTATCTGTGCTAGCCATCCCTAATTTAGCAGCGATAAACTATATGAAAGGTAGCTAGTCAATATCACCCACCGCCAACTCTTGAGCTACTCTTTTAACAATGAATAGTGAGATTGGCTGTCAGATTAGAACGCCCGTACGGGCGAAAGGGCGAGCATGTTCGGTGACGGGGATTCGAACCTGCGACCCGCAAATTGCGAGTCGAACAGCCTAACTACCAGGCCATGAAAGGCCTGTATTACATAGTAAAACGACAACAACGCCGACTTCAACTGAAATGTTAGACCTTCAAGCTTTAACTATGAAGGAGCATTACATCAAAACCGACGTTAATTGCTAATGATACATTTACGAATGTCTGGTGTTTTTCTTTACATGGTAATTTTTTCTACATTTAAACTACCTGTTTATTTAGTTATTTTTGGATTTCCAATCTTAGAAGTGCAAAATAGCATTTCAAACTTATTTTTGACAACCACAAATTATTGCCCAAGAGGCTTTTCATTCAATACCAGAACGCATCAGTCAGACGAAACTTACGTCAGAAAAACGTATATCTGAAATGCTTTTTGTATATAATACAAGATATTTAATGCACTCTTATGAAACGCCTAAGATAATTCTTAAAACGTTTTAGGCTTAACATAGACGATAAAATCACGCTTGAATGTATATATATTTTATCCTCACAATCTTCTCACTTAGTCCTCTTGTGGCAGATAAAAGGTCGGTTTGAAATGCCATTTTTTTCACGCCTCTGATTTAAAATCCTCAAAATATTAATTCAGAACAATATAAAATAACACCTGTAACTAAGCGTGATTCTATTATTTTCGTTAGGCTTAAGAATTTTGATGTTTTACTAACTCAATTTTATACTGCGGCACGATTTTTTATTTCATATTTCAGTATACCTAGATAGAGGTATTGAAGTAAAACAAAATGAAATAAAAACGCATTTCAGTTTCAGCAATTTTTATACAATGTACATTTTACAAGCATATGTAACAGTCATTACGCTACTTCCTATAACGACACGTTAATAGAACAAGAGATGACGACAACATGAAATTTCAACATCGTAGATGACGTCTTATGTGTTACCCCCTTTTGTCAGTCTCCGCACTGTCAACATCAATGGTAGCAAATCTGACTGGATAGATAAGCTGGTTACCCTTGTCCCACGTATACAGCGCCTCCTGGCGGGGGTTGTAGCTTACCATTTTCGTTTGACTGAACGGATTATTGAATTCCAGCTTAACTTCAATACCCCTGTTACGATACAAGTCAAAAGCGTACGATATCTGTGTGTGTCGTTCGTCTACACTGTCTACAGCGTATAGAACGCCACAGATAATAAACATAGCTCCAACGCTCCGGTGACGAAGTGTAATATTCCACATTTTCTCTGTGCGTAGAGTATATGGATGAAATTTCATAACGAGTGTGTTGTTTGTATTATTTCCCGCAAATATCACCCACATCCCGTTCTCGTCTACAGCTATGTCCATGTAGACGTGATTACTCGTATACAGCCGTCTAGCATCTTTGTAGGCAGCGTCTACGATCTCAGCAGCAGCCGTAGCCTCCGTAAACAAATCAAACCGGACCAGATTTTGTGTACCTTCCTGGTTATAATAGAAAGAGCCATTGAAAACGACTTGACTGTTTCCCATGAAGCGATAAGGCAGCAAATACTTTTTGCTGAAGTTATGTTTCCGGAAAGCGACCTTGTTCTCATATTCATAAAGGGTTGTCTTTTCACTGTCTAAAGTCATCCAGTGTTTATCCTCGTCCTCAGGGCGAGGCGGTGATGGGTCTTTCATCCAATTCCCCCAAGCAGCTTTAGTGTAGCGTTGGAATACTGGCTTCCCCACCTGACTTAGAAGACAGTCTGAAAAATATTCCACAAGGGGGAAGAATTCAACTTCAGTTCTCAGTTTTATATTTAATAATTTTGTTAAGACTAATTATTCTTCAAAAAACAAAAATAAACACCACCATCAACATCAAAAAACACAATAAGATGTGTGATAGATATATTTCTTTGAAATACATTATCTACAAGAGTTTACTGTAAATAAAGACAGAATAAAAAGTAAGCAGTCGAATTTTTCTGGCGAAATACAGTTTGATTAAACCGTGGGAGTAAATATAAAATAAAGGGACATACATATTCGTCCCCATTTCAGTATAAAATAAAGGGACATACATATTCGTCCACATTTCAGTATAAATAAAGGGACATACATATTCGTCTACATTTCAATATCAAATAAAGGGACATACATATTCGTCCACATTTCAGTATCAAATAAAGGGACATACATATTCGTCCACATTTCAGTATCAAATAAAGGGACATACATATTCGTCCACATTTCAGTATCAAATAAAGGGACATACATATTCGTCCACATTTCAGTATCAAATAAAGGGACATACATATTCGTCCACATTTCAGTATCAAATAAAGGGACATACATATTCGTCCACATTTCAGTATTAGATAAAGGGACATACATATTCGTCCACATTTCAGTATTAAATAAAGGGACATACATATTCGTCCACATTTCAATTTGAAACTTTTATTATAGGCTCAAATTTCTGATGAGTTGTTACTTTTCAAAACTTTAAAACAGTGATGGAACTCTCTCTCTCTCTCTGAGTGTTCAACAGTACTAGAAACTTTGAAATAAAACGAGAAAGATACAGCGAATTAGTTCATTGTTAAGTTCTACTGAGAATGTCTAACGTGTCTAAAGAATTTAGTTTAGTGATTATGAAAGGTTCTAGCAGAATAATAAAAACTTTGAATTGCCTCTCGGTATGTAAATATCACGTAAGAATATGATAAACTTAAATGTAGGGTAGCTGAAAACGTTTTAGGGCTTCGGAGAAATGTATTAAAACGCGCAAAATATTTTATCTACATTCCTTTATGCGAGTACAAGTTTATTTGACTTTAAGCTCATTCGAAATTAAATTGTTTTGACGAAAAAAATGACCATTTGCTTGCTTTTGGAGTATTCAGAAATACATTCTTTACATTTTTACAAAACACACCCTGCAAAGTAGCAACTTATTAAATACATTATTACTACATTGTAATTAATACATATAAAAGGGCATAATTTCGATTTATTAGCCAGGAAACAAAACCTTAAAAGAAAATTTTTGTTTTCCACTGTATTTAATTCGACAGTCAAATTGCTAACTTCGCTAGAAGGCAATGGATTTATTAGAGAAATAAAAATTACATTACCTTTGTTTCTAGGTTTTAACTTCTGCCAGTAGGTGGCATTGAAAGACCCTCCAATGCTGATAACAGTGACTGGTCTTGGCTTGCCAGCTGAAAAGGATTTTTATCCATATGCGTGTATATATATAACATTGAATTAAATCTCTGAAAAACTCAAACGAGTAGAGTTTTTAATGAGATATAATTAAAGAATGACTAACTAAAGATGACACAGCTTTAAACAAAATCGTTATTACGAACTGTGCATTTTACGTTCAATGAAAAAATAAAGTGTTCAAAATCAACAAATATAAACTCACATAATCTGATTAAATTAACATCAAAAATGTAAAAAAAAGTAATACTTTAGGAAATGATAATTCAACCTTTCAATCCTATAAAATAAAATATTCGCTAAAAACAACAACACAAGAGTAAAATATTTCTGTGGTATAATTACCAATACTTCTGTTTCAGTCTTTTTAAATGTACTTTTTTTTAAATTTACTTTCGGCAAAACGTAACATCGTTGTATTTTATTTCTCGGAAAATTAAACAAAATTACTGATTATATTTTGTTTTCAATTATTCTAGTAAATTATAACCATTATATTTTTACCTTAGAAATTAAGAAAAGAGGAATTATTTCAGATTAACTCAGCTGAAATGTTTCAAAGTCTGAAGAAAAGTCTTTTACAGCTTCAACTTCGGTTTCATAATGACGATTTTCATAATAACTTACAATAAAATTGTTTTAATGAATCACTAATTCCAAGAAACAGTAACATTAATGCTGATTCTTCGAAATTAAAATTAAAATACAGAGATATGTTTCGTTGCAACACACAACTAATACTTTATAAAGCATTCGAATCGTACTTTGACCTGCAACTGGACAATTCGATTGACCTGGACAATCTGGACACGGTGGGCATTCTTGCTCTATAACCCGCGGGGGAGGTGCTGTGAAAAACCAAAGCAGTGTTTACTTAAACAACGTGTTAACTTTTGTTAAATAAAAACGTATTATAACAGCTCAATAATTGGTTCTTAAGATATGCCTATTTTTGGCTCTCATTCTAGTTATTGTATAAATAAAGTTATAAAAAATACTATTATTTATTTTGTGGAGCTACTGAGAAGTGTTAAATACTGAATAAAACAATTAAGAATAAAACAACAACACAAAATCCGACGTTTTTTGGCACAATGAAAGGTAAAACATTTATTATTGCTTACAGCCGACTAGGTTCGGTAACACAGTTACCGTCATCATTAACCGAAATTACTCGGATATAACTAATAATAAGATTTTACGTTTCACAGTGTCAAAAAAAAAAAAACAAACACTCTTGGATCTTATGTTTTTTACTCTTAATATATAAGCACAATGTGTCTGAAAATAGATTATAATTAATGAATAAAACGTTTGAATTACCAATATCTATCTAATAATATTCTAATTTCTGACAATGTTAATACATTTATAACTGAAAAAAATTACAGAATGCATATAAAAACTTCAACATGTTGTTATAAGTTATTTCCTTGCCATAAGCTGTACCAAGTAATATAGTGGTAAAATGTGATGTGTTATGGAGCTCCAACTAAATTCTAATACTTTATTTACAGTTATCAGCCACTTTTCATTAAAATTTCTATAATCAACTGGTATCTCTGAGTCTAAGAATACAATTGATATATCATCGGTAATTTATGTATATATAGTATCTCCATACCATAAATGATATATAGATATATTTTACACGAACATTAGTAAGTTATCATTTTAAACATACAATTATTTTAATATTTTAAATACATTTTACTCATACAAGTTTAATAATATATCTGCAAGTTAAGTCTATTTTGCATTTACATACGCTTATTTTAATCACTCATATAAAAATAATACAGGTGCGCCGTTCCGGTTCGTGCCAGCCCTACTAAAGCACTGGCTATAGTTTAAAGTTATTCACGCATTCTTTTTAGGGCTAACTAAAAGCAGTACACAAAGCGTGTTTATACAAATTATTTGGATAATCGAGGTAAATAATTTACCTTTATTAAAAGGTAGTGAGAATCTACTATAGAATATACTATACCTTTCCCGTAAACTGTATATTGTGTTTCCTTCGCGGGTTGTTTTTTTGGAGACGTTGGACCAATTTCTGGAAAGAGCATTATAGATTTTTTTTAAACGAGAAATGAATATCGAGTTTTTATTGACATGCAACATCTTTTATATTATAATGCCCTAAAAATTCAGTCAGGATGACGTTGTGACGTCGAAACATGTAGAGTCGTCAACTTTTTGAAGCCCATAGATAGGCCTAAATAAAATGTTTTTAATTGTGTACAAGTTTAACGTTGAATATTATTTATTATTTTTTTTAGTATCTATATTTGTGGCATATTTTCAGGTCTACAAGTACGTCTTGAAGAACGTTTAGTATAATTCCTAAAATAGAAAATAATCAGTCGGCAACTTTGAGATATACATACAAGTTCTAACTAACAAGATACTCGTGGATGATTTATGTTAAGTTAAAAACATTCACATACAATTACAAGAAAACCACCCACACACGACTACTGTCATCCTGTTATATGGTCATGTTCAAAGTTTTAACGTTAAGAAAAGCAGAAAACATTTTCAGACAGACTTACAAATGCTGGACTTGTGTAGTGGTATTTCCTACAAAATAGACGGTTAGGGCTAACTGGAGGTTTGAAGAATATCGAAATGTGGATTCATGATGTCAGAAAAACACGTAGGATCAAGAAGTCTTGATTCAAAATGATAAAAACCCTATAACCCGAGCGCTTCCGAAACGTGGATCTTTCTTCTTCAGGGGCATAAAAACTTTATAACCCGAGCGCTTCCGAAAGGTGGATCTTTCTTCTTCAGGGGCAAACTGGGAATGTGGATTCATGATGTCAGAAAAACACGTAGGATCAAGAAGTCTTGATACAAAATGATAAAAACCCTATAACCCGAGCGCTTCCGAAACGTGGATCTTTCTTCTTCAGGGGCAAACTGGGAATGTGGATTGTGTCTTTTCAATGTCTAACCGAAGTCGTTGAGAAGGAAGAGTCAAACCCTGAATGTTCACAACGACATTCATACATAGTAGCAAACAGATAAATGCAAGGAGAATTGCAGTACGGTGGGTGTAAAACTGGTAAGAAACATGTGGTAAAACCTTTAGCAAATTCTCTTATCTGTCCATTGTTAGCCCCCTGTAAGCTAAACTAAAACAAAACCCTAAATCTAAAACAACTCTATTCTGTTAAAATGAACAAAACCTAAAACTTTAAACTAAGCAAAAGTTAAAATAAGTCTAAGAAACGCTGAAAGTTTTTAGTCAAGGTAGAAGTGGAAAGTTGGTTGAAGTCTACAAATCTTGCCAAAAGTTACAAGGTCTGCAAAAATTACTCTTTCAAGGACAAACCTGGCTTTAAATACAAAATACATTAGAACAAACAAAGCCAGGTTTGCACATGAACGCTCGTTAGTCACATAATCCCTGTCTTTGAACATTCAAACCAGCAGTCAGTCACTTTGAGACCAAAAACACAGTTACAGCTGCTGACCATTTGGGGATAATTAATGTCAAACGTGAAATATCAAAGCATCAATCTAAAACCTTCAGAAAAATAACACAGGTTCTACAGGAATAACACGCGCGGAAGGATAAAAAAGTTGTCCAACTTTAAACCTTGTATGTATACTAAATTCAGATTTTCTAATATAGCAAATTACCAAAAACTGTGAATACTCCCTTTGTCTCTCCTTTCTCGTTCTTGCTTACACACTTGTAAATTCCATAATCGCTTCCTTCTACGGAAGAGATATTGAGCTCCATGTGATGGCGGAAGCTTGAACTGTATTCCTTTATGTGGTATTTCCCTTTATTTTCAATAAGCTTCTCATCACCATGCAACCAGTAGTTGACGGCTTCCGGGAAGGCTTCCACAAAGCACTCTAAGACTGCGTAACTTCCGTTTCTTGTACCAACCATCTGGTTCTTGATTTTAATTAAAGGAGGGACTGTAAATACAAAGAAACATTGTTTGGTGAAATTAAGTCAAATTATGCTTCATGCACAGAAGGGAAGTCCTGTTGGAAGGGAAAAAATTAAATATGAAAATAAATGACATACAGAAGGAAATAAGAACATATACGATATTAACCTATTTGTACTAAATTATTGAAATAATGAGCTGGTAAAAAGTACCTAAATGAAACCGATATTTCAAATTGTGTGATGATTTTATGAATAAATGATACGAACTTAATGTGTGAAGGTTATAGACTATTTCCTGTTAATAATGAAAAGATCGACAACACTAAGCCTATCTTAGTAATTTTATCTTAAAATTAATTTCAAAAATTATATTTAAGTAATCTCTCTTCTTAATTGTAATCAAAAAGGGGTTAACAGATAAATCGCAAAAAAATATTTTCCTGATGAAAAGCCGTGCATAGAATATTTAAATTTTCATTCGTGTATACTTTATGTTTAAAGACAGAGCATTATTTACAACAGAAAACAGTTTATTTCGTCGAAAATGAAATATGGAACACGTGGGTAGACTCAATTTCTAGGGATTGCTGTACACAAATTCAAACTTTCATATTAAACTTTTACAACCACGCAAATTTGGAATTTACCAAATGACCTAACAGATGTACTTTGCTCGTGCAAGATCATGTATACAACTGTTTCATAATCTGCGTCTCAAAAAATAACAAAAAGTATAATAACCCACACAATTAGAATTCAACTGTCCCTAACTGAAACAGATTTAGCAAGAATAACAAAATTTATGTAAATTGCTTTTCAGATAAAACAGAAAATTATATTGGATCCTATGAAATGTTCGCAAACTTTGTTTTATTTTAATTTGTCATTAATCTCTTTATTATTATTATTTATTTATATTTATGCAAATACATCTTCCTTTAATGTAATCTTCAAATTTCGTTCTCCATTTTTGAGGTAATAATTCGATACTGTAACATTACAGGTATTAATTTTAAGATTAAACGAGCTTTCAATGGTGTATAACATAGGTGAATCTAAAAAACGAAAGTAATACGGATTACACCTAATGTAAGTTAGGTGTAATGCAGTTACAAGAGTACAAATGCAGATGTACTTACAATTAACTTCTAGCACAATCCGTTTATATGCAGGGGGCGGAACTCCATTAGATGCAATGCAAAGATAAGTACCCATGTGATACCGAGTAACTTGGCTGATGTTGAGACGATCCCCGTCGATAGTCGCCACTAAAATCGATTAGTTAAATAACATTTATTTGGGTTCATTTGTACATGTACAGCTAGCTATCAAACACATATAACCTGAGGGGCGTAGCCAGCACTACAGAGTGAGTGGGGTATTTTTTTTCCAAAAAAATGTGGACATTTTCTTCTTCGTAAATAAATTATATGATTTTTCTTTACTCTAAACGAAACTTGTAAAATGGAGGTACTCAAAATTTATGAGTGTTATGTGTTTATTTTTATAAAAATTAGAAGTTAGACTTTTAGGATATTGGAGGTGGTCGTTTGGTCCCCTCCCCCCACATCCTGCCATGGCTACACCCCTGATATATGTGAGTAAAATATGTTGATTGTTTAGATAAACCTAGAACCCAACAAAGACAACAGCAAAATACATTTGGAATTATCAGAACAACAGCTCAGTGTACGTATATCGAAACTGTAAAATGATTTTAATATAAAATATAAAATAGTTACCTGTACATATTTTAAAGTATAAAATTTTTTGTGAAGGTTTTAGGTACTTTCATGCTGTTTTCAGGTAACCCTAGAAGAAAATGAATACTTAAACTTTCGGTTCTACAGATTTTCGATATATTCCTTTTTGACGTTATACACTTAGTGTGCTTACAACGCTAAAAATCGGGTTTCGATACCCGTGGTGGGTACGGCACAGGTGGTTCATTGTGCAACTTTGTGCTTAACAGCACAACATCGAAATTATATAATGAACCAATTATTTCAAACTTTCTACTAGTTACGAGATGTGCAGCAAATGAAAACATTAATTAAATGAAGAATGGGCAATGGCAATATCCTCGTCACACCAAACATGCTCGCCCTTTCAGCCGTTATAATGTGACGGACAATCCCACTATTCGTTGGTAAAAGAGTAGCCCAAGAGTTGGCGGTGTGAGTTACGAGATGTGCAGCAAATAAAAACATTAATTAAATGAAAAATGGGCAATGGCTACATCCTCGTCACACCAAACATGCTCACACTTTCAGCCGTTATAATGCGACGGGCAATCCCACTATTCGTTGGTAAAAAGAGTAACCCAAGAGTTGGCGGTGGGTGGTGATGACTAGCTGCCTTCCCTCTAGTCTTACACTGCTAAATTAGGAACGGCTAGCACAGATAGCCCTCGTGTAGCTTTGCGCGAAATTCAAAACAAACAAACAAACAAGCAATGGCTACATTGTACGATTTCGAAAAATATATTTGAAATGTGTCTACAAATTATTCAAATACTCAGGTGCATCCATGCACTAGTTTTCAATAGAATAAAACACGTGGACAGTTTTCTTACAACCTACGTATAAAAAGAGAATCGTTGTTTGCAGGTCCCATCATCTTTAAATATATGGTGAGGCCCGGCATGGTCAGGTGGTTAGGGCGCTCGACTCGCAATATGAGGGTCGCGGGTTCGAATCTCCGTCACACCAAACATTCTCGCCCTTTCAGCCGTGGGGGGCGTTATAATGCCGTGGGGG